TAATTACGACAGGCTATTTTAGAAGTGCGGCGGGCGCGAGCGTTGCACTGGACGCCGAGAGCGAATGGGTCGTCGCACGTGGAGCTTCGTGGGGATCGAAGCCGTGATGAAAACTCGAGCGAGAGAGAGAGAGAGAGAGGCCTCGGTCATCGCGAAAGGAACGCACAGAGAGCGAGAGATAGGCCGACGAAGGTCGCCTAATTGGATCGTCGAGGCGGACAAGAGAAAAAGCGAAGCTCGCGTGGCGCATTTAATGCCGACGTTCGCGTTACGCGTAACGAGCCGACGCTCGACCGCGGCGCGCGGCGACAAAGACAAGCGCAGAAAACACTCGGCGACACACTTGGTCTCGTAATCGCTCGCTTTGTTCACCGGCAATTGCGACCGCGCGCCGCAACACGCAACGCGCTCCGACTGGAACCCTCGTTCTTTTCTCGGTGGCCGTGTGGGAGTTGACGACGACGCTGGTCTCGCGAACGCCGCGACTCACGATCGGCGTCTAATTGCTATGAATTCTCGCGCGGCGAGATGCCTGAGATTAGATAACAGGTGGAATTTGCCTCGGCGAAGGCCGAAATTTGGGAGGCGCGCGAGCAAACAGGCGGCGCTTTGTCCTCGTTATCGTCGGACGCGCGGCGAATCATCGAGAAGCCGCGAGGTGGAAGGAACAGGCGTCGGCGCGCGCGCGATCGGTTGCGCCACTTCGCCACTCCTCGGCGAGAGCGTCACCGAGGGACAACAAAGGGGCGTAGCACTCGCGCGTTTTCGGCGCGTCGGGCCCGTTTATTCCCCGCCGATCGCGCGTCGCGCCGGAGGTCGCTCGGGCGCGCAACGAGAGTTCACGAGCCCACGTCGCGGAGCCGTCGCCACTCCCTGCTCGTGCCCCCGCCCCCTCTCCATCGCGCCGCCAAGTCCCACGTGCGAAAGTGGGCTCGCGCGAGTTGCGTAATCGCGAGCCCGCCACCCATGGCGGGTCCGCGCGAAGCGCACAGCCGATGGCGCCAGGCGTCGCGCGAGAGCGCCTCGGCCTCGACGGCGGTGGAGGTGGCAGAAAAAGAAACGAGAGAGAGAGAGAGAGAGAGAGAGAGAGCCACGCACTCGCGCGAGCTCCTCGCCTTGGCTGCGCTCCTGCTCGATCTATCGATCACGCTGGATCATCGATCGTAAGCGCGCGCGCGTATCGATGATCCGAGCCGAGGGATCGCTCTGCTTCGCGATCTTCGCTCGGCTGCGCGGATCGCTGGCGGCGCTTCGACTCCGCGCCGACAGATGGCGAGACACGCCGTCTCGGAGATCGGCTCTCGCGGCCGGGCCGCGCAGCAGCTCCGAATCGCCGTCGTCTCGCTTCCGCGTACCGCGAAACGGATTCGCGCTACGACGGGACGCGAGAGTCGCAGTGCCGAGATCGAGGTCATTCCTCCTCGCGCGCTTCTCGTAATCACGGGTGCGCGCGCATCGAGGCGTATCCTTGGTCTGCGTCAAGCGCCTGCTGCGTCAAGGCCGGCCGATGCGGCCCGGCTGGAGAAAGGCGAACGCTCAAAAGGCCCGACTCTCGCCGGCGGAGAAGGCGCGACGACCTTCGGACCAAAGGGCTCGCCGGCCGCGGCCGACGGCGGTTGCACGCGGGCTCGTACGCGCGACTACTGGAGCAGTCGTCGCCATTGCGGCTCGAATCGCGACCAAGATCAGTGTCGCGCGACGCCCGACCCGAGAAATCGAGCGCCGTAGCGAGCCGCAGCCCTTGGCGCAACGCTCTCTCGACGCGGGCAGGCAAGGTCGACCGATCCTCGCTCCGTTTCGTGGGCTCGTGATTCGGAGAGTCGGACGAGCGGCTGAATTTTCCAGGCGAGCTCGACAGGGACAAGCGGCGCGGCTCCTTGAAATCCGGCGAAAGTGAGAGGAGAGCCAGTGGCGGAAGGGCGACGTCGACCTTATTGCGCGCCGAGAGAGAAAGAGAAGAAAAAAACCTCGAAGTTTGGCGACGACCCAGAACGTTTCGTCGCTCGAGCCGAGCGTTTATCGATACGGGTGGCCGCTTTCTTGGCGCTACTCGCGCGCTTTACCGAGGAAGTGCATCGCGTCGCGAGAGAAGGCCGGGCAAACTGCGCTCTCGCGCTGGCATTATTTTAAGCTCATCGACGCGTCGCAGGCAGCCTCTGCCAAGCGATAATCTCGAAGGCTACGCGTCGATAATCCGCGAGGATCAAATTCGCACCGACGAAAGTACGAGAGAGCACGTCGAGCGACGCCGGATGATGTATGTACCGTGACCAACGAGAGACATGCGCGAGAGACAATCGCCGCTTCGGCCCCGAAATTCGACGACGCTGAGAAAGTCGCCCAGCGCGGCCGCTTTTGGCATTGACCGATCGCGCCGAAACTCCAAGAGTCCGAGTCGATTTCTGGACGACCTGCCGTGGCTTATTTGGCGGCCACTTTGCACCGACAGCCCGCGCCTTTCGTTAGACGCGAGCGCACGAATCCTTTGTCGCGCGACCTATTTTCGATCCGCTCGAGTCATCGCACGAGATGAGGGCAGCAAGTGTCCGCGAGCGCTTCGGGACAACGGCTCAACATTCGCGCGATCGCGAATAACCGAGCGCAACCTTCCTAAAAAAAAAAAACAAAAAAAAGTCGGTGCACCGCACTGCCGGAGAGTGCAAGGCCGCGGCTCGCGTAACTCTCCGCGTTTCTTTCTCTCTCTTTCTCGCCAAAAGTACGCATCGACTGGAGAAGTTTATTTCGAGAATATGAGGTTTTTTTGAGCGCACTGCGCGATGGTATTTTGAGGACTCGCGTTTTCGGAAAGTTTCCAGGTTGTACGCGGGCGCAGAACACGCGGAGAGACATTCATTGCATTTATTGGATTTCGCCTGCGTCCGATTGCCCCTCGGTTCATTTCATGTACTCGGTTTTGGCAAGGAATGCTACTTTCCTATCTAAACCTTTTAGAACGTAGTCGACTACAATGGGTACATTCGTCAAGCTTTCATGCAGGGAATAATAAAAGTTAAAATACGAAACAGGACGTGCGATTGCCTAAAAATAAACGCGAACTATATTAATTCGCGTAGGCATTTCATGCGTTTACTAGTTTGCTTGGTGCTTTATCCGGCGAACGCAGCGCAAATAAATATCCGTAGCGAGCGAACGCGTCGCCATAAACATCCTCACAAATCGTCTCCAAATATTTATAAGCCGCCGGATAATGTATTGATAGCTGCGGCGCGGTTGTGCAACTCAGCCAAGGACTACGATAAAAATCACCAATGCATCGACCCCCTCCCCCTCCCTAAAGATAGCTCGAACGGTGTATCGCAAGCGAGCGAAACGGAAAAGACGTATAGCGAACCGGGAAGTGACGGTGCTTGCAAGCGAACTCAGCCGTAAAAGGCGCGGATAGGAGACCGCATTATACACACCGTGGGCGCGAGCGACAGGTGAATCACGTGGTCGGGAAAAAAATGTAAAAAGGATGGCCGTTTTCGTTGGATTACGATCTTGTTCGTGCGAGAGTGCTCCGGAAGCTTTTTTGTACGACACGTGCCATATATGTCTTTCGGGGGCCAGCAATGGTGATTTGCGAAACCTTTTGAAGGGACTGTTTGGAGAGCGAACGCAGAAAGAAAAACTAGTTCAACCGGTTCAGCTAAACAAAAGGAAGTTGAAAATAAATTTATCGATATGCACTGATTTTTATTACTCACCTTCGTACAGCGTCGCTCAAAATTGTCGACGCAAGCACACACATACGACGTTTCGTTGAGCTTTTATCTCATGTGGAAGATAAAAAATATTCAAAATTACACTTTGATATATGTTGCGATGCATAAGAGAAATAACATCGTCGCGCCTCTCTTCAAGATCACACATGGTCCCAAAAAACAAGCGACGCTACAGAGGCGTACACGTCGCAAATGTAACAATTGTTTCTTATGTTAAAAAGCCAAAGTTCGATCAAGAGCTTCTACGTGAAACGTTTCCAAAAAACAAAACCGCAACATAAACAAAGACGATCGTCGCACGTGCGAAACCCGGTAGGTCATGACAAAGAGCGTCATCTAGCGCAGAATCTTCCAACTGATCTAGGATCACCTGGCTTCGCGCGAGTATATTACCAGATATTACAATCGTGAACCCCTCGCGGTAGCAGTGATGTAACAAAAGTGTTCTCTCTTGAACCTGCACGATCGCTCGTGGTATTTTAATTGGATTGTACGTTGTTAATTTTGGCTTGCTAGAGTTATTTGAACGCGTACAACTTGGGATTTCGAGTGCGTAGAAACGAATGGATTTTTGATAACATTGATGACTCTGTAAGCCACTCTACGAGCCTTTATTATGGTTGCAGCATAACTTCGTATTTCGTTCGAGAACATGAATGTTAATGATAAATATTTGAACACGTGTACTTCACATTGAGGACGTTGCCCTGGATAGCCTAGCAGCCTAGCACACTATTTTATCGACACAAAGTTAAATTTTCATACGGTAAAAAACATTGTAAAGATGTAAGCTTACTTGAAAATAAACTCAATGTCGCTTACGTTATTAATTAAAAAATGCAAATATATAATATGAGAAGTCATATTATATCAAAGAAATACTTAATTAGAATAAACATTACTTTTAAGCAATTCGTTTATAAATAATATTTCTCACAAACTTTTGAGTATAATACTTTTATACTCAAACTTTGTAATATTATTCCGTTAATGTTTTATCGAGTCTTTCATGTAAGAGCGCATGTAAAATGTAACATTTTCAACTTAAAATTTCCAAGTAATTTGTATTATAACATAAATCGAAAATATTATTGCAAATTGGAAATACTCAACTTTGGTATTCTCAGTTTTTATCAAATCACGTTTTAATTTAATATAACAGGGCAATATGTTTAAAAGAGAACGCAGCGGGTACCAAAGAGCTTTAGATACATTACTGATTGTGAGTAGCTCTCGTCACGAAGCTTCCAGCAAGTTCTCGAACAGTCGCGTGGGTGTACGGCTGCGCGCGCAGCCTTCGCGCAGCTTCTGTGGTGCTTGGTTATTTAAGTTGGCGCGACGGCCTGGTCGTGTTTCAGTATCATCAAGAGAATTCGTGAGCGAGTGCATTGTGACAATTTTACACGGCACGACTTATACATACCTTGAGAGTCCGTACAAGTATTACCGTGAGAAGCAGACTAACAGTATTAATAGTGTTTAGTGTTCGACTTTAAAGAAAACCAGTGATTTTTTTACGTACTAATCTTACCAAGAGGAGTAAAAAGAAGAATAGCTGCGAGAGGATTAGCCGCGATATAATCGGTAATTTCCATTGTGCCGTGTTGTGCAGCAGCAGCAGCTCTCGAATACAAATTATTTGGCAAGGTGCCTTCCGAAAACGCGAAACTGTTTCGACTCTCTCTCTACACACACACACACACACACACACACACACACACACACACACACACACACACACACACACACACACACACACACACACACACTTTGTCTCTATCTGAGGATATCGATCGGCTCGCACTCTAATATATTGTAGTTAGAGGTTAGATTCTTTCGAGACGCTTCTCATAACAAAAGTTTCACGAATTCTCTTTCTGTTTTCACTTAAAAAGAGTTTTCGTCAATCAAAATTACTCTGTGAACATTTGATTACTTTCAATTCTGAATCTAGCTCGAAGTGTCCGTTTGACATTTAAATTTTCAAGGTAACCGATTCTTAAGTAAACAGTTGTTTTTTCGGAAGGCACGTAATACATAATCTAATCGATCATTTCTATCCATAGCAAAGCTTGCGCTTTCTCTCACACGTCTTTTATTGCCCGCAGTTATTATTGTAATCTATCACGCCATTCATACATTTGATATACATTCTTACTTAGTGCATAGATGTATCTACACAGTGCTTGTGTTTTAACTTTTAACCCCGAAAAGTCGAGTACCGTACGTGTAAGTGAGCGCGTGCACGTCCTTGATACCGTCGAGTCTCGCGAGCGCGCGGAAAATAAAATAATCACTTTGGCTCATCACGAAAATAGAACACGTTTGGAGAGAGAGAAGGCGCGAGCGAATCTTTTTCAGCGTCTCTCTGTGTCTGCATGTGCTAACGTTAGACGAACATTTCGTAGGCGGAGAGACAGAGAGTCGGAGAAAAAAAGAATCACGAAACCGAGTAGCGAGAGGAAATCCCATAGGCGGCAAATGGATTCATCGCCGGTGATCATTGACAATGCAAGCAAGTTCGGCCGGGATCTGGACCCGCGCGCACACTTCCCCGTAAGTCTTCCAGCTGCACAACACTCATCCGCATTTTCTTCTTTTCTCCTCTCCGAGGTGTCTCTCTCGCGTATTTTGCGCTCTCTCGCGCTCTCTGTTTACGAAAATCTCGCCAAACTTATTTTCGAAGATTTTTGTTTGTTCACCTCGAAAAGCAATCGAAGCTACCTGCAGTCACCACGTCCATTTTTTTTTCGTGACTCTCTGTTTACCGAGTATTTCGGCCGGGTGACCTAAGTGTCAAGCTTCTTTGTTTTGGCCACGTGCGCGACGCGTGGGCGTCATCCATCCACTTCACAGACGAAAGTTGCGGGTTCTCTATTTTTCGTTCTTAAACCGGCGTCAGATGGAGATACGTTCTTTTACTGTTAACTCGCTGACGTAGCCGAGATTATGTGGGTGAGAGCTCGGCAAATTTAGAGACACGCTATCCTTACTTTCGAAATCACCGATTTGGAGATGTATTGTGGGGAGGGGGGGGGGGGTGAGAGTGAAAGAGCGCGTGTGGTTAAAGTAGAAATCCAATTCGCAACTATCGCTCGCACACAAAAAGCGAGCTTGCACAAAGTCAGCGCGCCTCACATCGATCCCCAAAGCTCGCGCCGCGAAGTGGGTCGAGCGATCATTCAATAGCGCGAGACGCGTTGCATAAAGGCACTGTTCGTGAGTCACGGCGCGCGCGAGGAATGTGTCAAATGCGAAAGATGGTGTCTAAAAAGGCACCGCGGCGCGGCAGCGGTGGCCTGAGTCAGCGTGCGCCTATGCAAAGCGACCGATTGACGGCTGTGTCCCGCCAAATTACGCAACGCCCGCGCGGAGAAAAGCCCGTCAGCGCTATAAATAACGGCCGCGGCGCTGTGCAGCAGCCCGCTGCGAGACCTTGACCCGCTCAAAGGGTTCGCACGGCGGCGCGGTGACATTCACCCACTTTCGCGCCTTTAGTTCCTCCCCGTCTCTCTCTTTCTCTCCCTCTCTCAACTTCGCGATCATTCATATCGATGTTTACGCGAAACAACGCTTCCGTGACGACGTCATTCGCTGCACGGGCGTGGGCGTCGCAGCGCCAGCGACGTCGTCGTCGCTCGTATGTATAGGTGATATGCGAGCATTATATAAGGACTGGCATACGTATATGGCGATGAGCTCAAGCGCTTTGCTTGCTTTGTGCGCGCCATATCTTTCCTCGGTATCTCCTTTTTTTTGTCCTTTATTTATTCGCCATAACACTTCTCTCTCTTTATTTATTCGGTGCTGTTTTCGTCGCGTCGCTAATGCGAGAAGCAGTTAAGCAAAAAGAAAGAAAGAAAAAAAAGGAATTAGACCACGAAGGACGCGTGCGCGCTTTGGAAGCGTATGAATAATTCAGAACCTCGGCGCGAGTTCGATGCCGTCGCGCACGTGACGCAGCGCGAAGTCGACCTCTCGAAGGAAAAACAAAGAAAAACAGCAGGGTTTTCTGGGTGTCCGTGCGCGCGCGCGCGCGCGAGAGAGAGAGAGATAATACGCCTACACGCTAAAGTGCGCGTTCATGTGCTTCTTTTTTTTTCACGACTTGCCCACACAATCATCAGGCTCGCTAACAAAGAAAGTTTGTTCTTTGCTTGCTTCTCCTCTAGTCGATTGGGCGGCCTCGCATTCGACGAACCAACGCTGCCAGATTCATTCCAGCAGCTTAGCGCAGACCAAGTCGCGGCTATAGATAAATCACGAACGCGACGATCGCCGACGATAAAAATTCTGGAAACTCGGCACGTCGAATCAGATGAGAAACGAGCTCTCGAACGCGTCCGGAATAGGCATATAAGCTTTTCGAGCTGACTCACTCGCGGTGCTCTCCCGAGCGAAGGATACCTCGCTTCCACGGCTACGCGCGCCTTTTTTTTCCTTCTCCGAGCAGTCAGTCGCCCAAGAGACACCGTGGCGCGCGATGCACCAGTTGTAATCGTTTTTTTTTGGAAACTCCTCAGGGCTTCCCATTTGACGACGAGGGTATCTTTGGCCACAGAGCCGATATCCGTTCGCGCCTCGACGACTTGGCCGCGAGGCATCCAGAGTTCGCCGACCATCTGCTAGGATCGGCTTGGGACGAGGTGCCCTTCAGCGCTGGATCCCTCAGGAGAGGCAACAGGAGGCCTAGCCAGGAGAGGCCTTCGACCAATAACGTTTTCCACAGTCATCCTGACGAGGTATGGTATCAAAGTAACCTTGCCAGTGTCCCTTAAATATTTTTGATGAACACTTTCGAGAGGCAAATAAGAATCGTTTGTCCCTAGAATATAAGTTGGAAAAATAAAGCTGTAAATACATGTTTGTATAACTTAGAGCATTAATCTTTTGTTGACGATCGTTGTGGATTTCCCCATTTGAATTTGGAAATAACTGCTCGAAAATAATTTTTCCTCGTAGTAGTAATAATAATTTTATTTTTTATTCGTGTACTTGATTATGAGTAATGATTTAAAAATAAATTTTATAAATATCGACAATTAAATTGGTTCACAATCAATCGGATCTTGAAATCTGGAGTTATGGATCATCATTATTTAAAAATCAGATAGGGATAGGGTTATCAATTGTTTCAGCAATATGATGAGTAATTTCGGTTTGAATTCTACAGGACGCACGTTCGCAGGCGAGCGGCGGAAGCGCAGCAAGCGGTGCAAGTGGAGTAAGTTCCCACGGCAGCGAAGCCGATCAGGCTTCAGTAGCAGATACAGACTCACGCCCGTCCGCGCGTAAGATCCCACAGTACAGCTTACGCAACACAGTGGACATTGGCCAGCACCAGCACAACATGGAGGCACCACAGCAACAGCGAAACGTACGTTCAATGTCGGCACCGCCGGAAAATCGTCAGAACGAGCCACGTTTCGTCTCGAGAGTCGAAATTAATCCTCAGCAAGAGGTTCAGCAACAACAGCAGCCCCAAAAAATCCAACAAGAGCCACAAAGAGAGAAAAGTCCGCCCCCACAAGCGCAGCAGCAAGAGCACAAAACTACTAGGCCGCAAAGTAACGTCAGGCAGATTCCAATTTTTGTCGAGGGTAGAGACAAGCCTGTAATCGCCAAAGACGTCGACGAACCAGATTTCACAAGGAGACAATCTCCACCTCAATTCACTCGACCTTCCCAACACTATCAGTCGTTCAACAGGCAACCTGCTGGCTGGACCTCGCATTTCCATGTAAGTTCACGCGCTGCCGCTAAGCAATACTAATTTTATTATTTACTCGCGAAATTGATTCACGATAATATAATCAATGCTAATCTCTTCGATTTACGTTTAGAGAATTCAAGACACTTATTTTTATAATTAATATTAACATTTTAGGAGCCTTTTTTCGAGCCACCACAAAACAGATGGACGAACTCACCGCCGTCGCATCCACAGTTCCGACATTCTCAGCAACAGCAGCAAGAAAAACCTCGGTACACTTATCAGACTGAAACTCAACCTCGAGCGAGGCAACAGTTCCAGCCACAACAGCAGCAACAACAAAAGCCACAACATCCTCAGAATGAGCCTCAACAGGAGCAAGCACCTCCTAAGCCCAAACAGCAGGTGCAGCCTAAAGATCCTTTGGGTAAGTGTAATTACTTCCATTTAAAAAATATTTTAATGTTCCACACTTAGTGTTTCAACAACTAGAGAAATAATAAATATTATTCAATTTTTTTTTCAGAAAAAGTTGCTGCAGTGCAACAAGAGGTTAACGCGCTAGCCGAGCAAGTGAAAGAATACTCGGGCAACTCGCGAACGGACAAGCAATATATGTACCTTGATGAGATGTTGACGCGTGAGTTGATTAAACTTGATGATATCGACACTGAGGGCAAAGAAAATGTACGAACGGCACGAAAGCAAGCCATCAAGAGTATCCAAGAGACAATTAGTTTGCTCGAATCAAAGGCTTCATTATCAGGTCCGCAAACACCGCAGCGCGACGAAAAGCAAAGCACAGAATCTGTGAAGCAAGAGGAACAGATTGTAGAACAATCATCCGAGACAAAAACAGAGACTGTGGCTGTGAAACCTGAGGCTATGGAAACCCAAGAGGTACATTGATTTAACAAACTTTTCAATGCTATAGTAGATTGTTTGTCGGAAATCATCAGCGATGTTGGTTTTCTTCACGCAATCGAATTTAAAATCACAATAATAATGTAAAGTGCTTGTAATGGGAACTTTCAATTATTCAAGGACGCGTCCACCTAATGGTTATTAGTGACCACTGTTAATGCAGAGTACGTTAGCAAAGTTTTTTCTTTATCGTCGATATCTATGTGTAATGTTCTGCATGTGTCATTGTAGCACAATGTAACACTATTAAGCACCGTTCCGATTCTTTTTGGATAAACACGTCTTCTTCATACAGAAATTTGACTTTCCTATTGAATTTTCATTGTATACACATCCATTTTGTATATTCGTTACAATGACTGTTCGATCGAAAAGTTTATTTTAATATAGGAGAAGAGATGCTTTTTCAATAAGATCAGCATTGCTATGTATTTTCATAGATATCACTTGTCTTAAAAAGTATTAAATCACCTGTTTCACTCGGTATTCAATATCTCGTAGTCTCTTTGTCACCCCAACATGAATTCCCATTCGAAAAAATAAACTAAAGTGGCTTTTTAATGATTTTACAGACACCAACTCAGGAAGAGCAGAAAGCTATTCCATTGCCACCACCGTTGTCGTCTACAAAAAACTCATCAAGTACCGAGCCAACTCGATCGTCTACGGAAACCACCGCTGCTGCCGTCGCCGAAGCTGCTTCGACACCAGTTCAACCAGAACAAGCCGTACAAGAGTCTCCAATCAAAAACGAGCCAATGGATGCATCCCCTGCACCGCAAGAACAACAGCTACTCCAAGAGCAACCAATGGAGGTTAGGCAGTCGTCACCTGCCAAAGAACTTCAATTGGGTAAAGAAAACCAACAACAAAGTCAAGCTATGATTACTGAAGAACAGAAGCAAGAAGTCAAAGAAGCGACTGCCTCTCCAGAACAACCAACAACGGAAAAGCCGAAGAAGGAACCTCCACCGGTACCTGCAAAACCAAACAGGTCGCCGAAGAAATCTAAAAAATCTGTTAAACAGCAATCAGAGCAGCAACCTATTTCTGATACTGCGATACCTTTGCCTGCACCTGGCCAATCGATCTAAGCGGCTAGTCTAAAGCTGGTGATACTGCTGTCCAAGGACTGAAAAAATTGTGCGCGATGGGGCCGGCGGATTATGCCATTTCACGAGCGATTTGTCGGGGAACTCGCCGGGTTTCTTTCATTTTTTTACGTAAATCGATGTTGTTTCTATGACGAAAAGCTGTAGAGATTATTTATTTCGGGTCCTCGACGATAGAGGTTGTGTGCTTTTTTTGACGACTGTTGCGAAATGAGTACGTGCGAAGGTTTTACGATCCATCATGATTCTGTACTTTTTAATTTATTTCAATTCAATACTTCCGGGATATAGAGATTTTGCTGCAGCTACCTCGCGAGACTGCATGGAGCAGTGTTTACACAACATTGAGTTAAATTCTTTTGTCATCACGTGACCTTAGGCTATGTGTTCGAGAAATTTCCTAGTTGATAAGCATTACTTTATGAAAAAAGTTAATAACAATTCTTAATAAAAAATACTCGTATTTTAATATTTGTTTTTATTTATTCCATTTTTTGATGAATTCTGTGAAAACTTAAATCCTAATCTGACTTTATTGTTATTTAATTTATGTTGATGCAACATGTACTAAGAAATAATCTACAGACATCTTTTTTCGGCTCCTTTTTGATTCAAGGTTATAAAAATAAAAAAATGATGATTCAAAGGTATTTTAAATATAACAGTGTCGATCTTTTTTTAAGAACTAAAACGAATCATCCAATGTATATAAATAAGATTAAAAATATCGAAATTTTTGGGTGAAATATTATTATGGCTTGAAGAACATTTAAAGTTCATAAATCATTTTGGGTAAATTTGCAATTTGAAGTCTTGAAATCGAAAAGTTGAATCGAAAAATAGGAAGCACTTGAAAAGAAAAGCTGCTATTATTACTCAAATTTCGGCCTCGAGTCGCGAAGTAGTATTCCAAAATAAATGTCATTTTACATAGATGTCTATATGCTAAGCTTTCTCTCCGTACGTAAATACACCTCATATATAATTTTTCAAAAAACCAATTTACTCCATAAACTTTATTTTTCAAAATAATTTATTTCAAAAAAGGTTTGACGTATTTTCAAAATGCGAATAATCTTTAGTTGACAGAAAATTTTGTTAGTCATTTTAAAATACAGCATATTTACATTGCTATATTTTAAATCGGAATGACGGATAGATTTTCAAAGCAATAAAAATTCAGGACAATTTTTTAAATGGTCTTTAATAACAAATATTATGGTCAAGAATAACATTTTTTTGTTTTAATAAGAAATAAAATTAGTACTAGTAAGCTTGATAAAATTTTCCAAGTGTAATTTGTTTATAAGTAGTTGATTAGACACATTATAAATTATACAACGTATAAAGCAAAATGAAAACTATTTTAAGTGCATTCAAATAGCAGCACATGACATTAAAAATTTGTTTGACGTCCACATAATTATACAAAAATATTCAAATATCACAGCTTTACATTTACGGCGCAGTTTAGAGAAATATACAAAGCTTCCGTGTACAAAATTACAAACTTTAACACAGCACAATAATCTCAACCATACATTTAACAAAATTATAGCATCAAAATTATCCGTGAATTTTTCGTCAATAATTTTCCGTGATTTACCGTTTGTCACTTTGTACTATCTACTAATATAATTATTGATAACTTAACAATTCTATTATAAAACAATAATTAAATCAATCATTGGAATGAATTTCGATTGTCTTCAATCAACAATTCGTCGTGATGGCTTATAAGGCACTGTCTTATGGTTTTCAAATTCGTCGTGATTATTTTTAAAACAATGTGGGCAGTACAAATCTCCTGTACAACCTCTACACATTACAAGATTTTTAGTGTTGTCACACATGCAACAAGTGTCCAGATTTTCTTCATACAAACTATTCTGTGATGGAGCCTGAAAATCATAATTATAAAATATCTTACATGAAGAGGTATGAGTGAAAATTTAATTCCAATATTTACATCAAATGGTACTTCTTCAAGTTCATCAATATTTCCCTCATATATAGACTCTAGTGCAGATTCAGCTATAGCTTTTTCAATTATTTTCTTTGTAGATGTAGCTTCATCATATTCCTGATAGCTAGCCATAGGATCATCTTTGTACTTTGAAAATCATAAATATTTTATAAATATTTCATCTTATGAGATTCATATATAATTATAGTTTTATTTTTTCACTTTACCTTTGAAGAATCTACCCCTCTCAAGGCATCCAATCTAGCTTTAATATCATCATCTGTTTTTTCACTTGCTTTTGAAATTTCTAATCTATCAAGATATTCACTGATCAAATCATTAGTTTTTTGTTCTGGTGTTCTTGTATCTACTTTATTTAGCTATAAATATAAACAAAATCATTTGATAAAAGAAACCCTACAATTATTGAGCATGAAAAATTAACATAAAAAATGCTTACATTTACTGGTTGTGGAAGAATGTCAGGATCTACATCTTTCAGTAAAGCGAGTCTACGTCTAATATCATCTTCTGTTGGACGAGGTACTCGCTTGTCTTCATTTTTTAATTTTTTCAATCTATTGACTATTTCTTGATCAACTGGATCTAAAACTACTTGTAATTTATCAAGTTTACTTCCTTTATACATTGTTATTGGTGGCCTTGAAGGGTTTTCCAATGAATCCAATCTTCAATAAAGTTAATTAGCAAAATTATTAATAGAATAATAAATAATAAAATGTCCATCTAGTATTCTTGATGACAATTAAATAAGTACCTTTTAGTTATGTCAATGGGAACAAGAGGTTGAGCAAGTCCATCAGGAATAGAAAAGTCATCTGTTGGAGTAATAGGAGATTCTTTTTTTTGCAATTTATTAAAGCATCGTCCACAAATTTTCTTTTCTCCAACATCAGAAAGATTACATTTATACTTCAAGCATTTACTGCAGTAAGAAAAGCCACAGCTGGGACAACCATTCTTAACAAAGAATAAAATATCAATAGGATTAGTCATATGTGCACATTTGATGTTAATTGCAATAATGAAATAATATAAAAATTGTTATCAAGCAGAGCAAAAAAATATCATTTATTTAATTCTTATAATTATTTAGATGTGTTATTCATATAGATGTTCAAGATAATAATGAATTATCGTAAAACGAAAATTGACATTAATTTTTAACAAAAATGAAATGATCGTTTGGTCGAAATGAATTTTTACCTCTTTCGTGAAAAACGAAAATTTAGCTTGACAAGTATTGCAAGACATTTCGAGTTTGAGAATGGGTTATAAAATCATCAAATTACTTCGAGATTAGTTGCAATAATTTATGAAATGATAAATTACACGAAATGAAGTGTAACAAACAGGTACAGTAAGAACTAAGAATTGTTCACTTGTAATTTTCCGAGGTTAGCTAAACTTACTGCTAGTGTAAATGATTTTCGAACGGAGCCGCTGCTGTCGCCTTTTTTAAATATTAAAACGAGAAATTCTTTTTAGCTTATATAGCTGTACATACATACGTTAATTTTTGGTGAAATATTCTTCAAGCGTTAAGTTTGCGTTTTACCTTTACCTAGAAAATTATAAAATGATTTATTTAACGAGAAAGAATTTAAAAAGCTACTAGTGGTGAGTTAATTTATAAACGTTATGATTCCTTGAATGGTATAAATAAGTTATGTTTTTTCTAAAAGCTTTAATATGTGATTTTATAGATAACTTAATATTTATGGAGTCTTTAATACTTTTCGATACATTACTTACAATAAAACTCCGATGGCTCATGGTAAAAGTTTTCCAATTAGTGAAAATTGCTTCCATGCATCTCTTGAGTGTAAACATATCATTTTTTTATTGTGACTTAATGCTTTTGATAATTACTTTTATAAGTACGACAATTTGTTTAAAGTTGCAATATTATACATAAAAGAATTCGGCAATCTAGCACAAATAACTAATAAGTAGAGCAATTTAATCTATATTTTCAAAACTCTACGAAAAATCAATTGTCGGTTTAGCATCGTACAATAATTGCATCTACCAATATTCTAGAACCAGATTTTACATCAAAAGCTTTAGATGCTTTGATCGTGAGCATACCTAAATCATTTCAACTAACAATTTTCAGTTTGCCTCTGTGGAAATTTGATTATTACACTCTACGCAAAGTTATTCAGGTAAGAATTGCGACATGATCATTCAATAATTAGTAGTTCGACGGTAAACAAATGTATAAAAATTTACAGTTGTCGAAGTAGGAGAATGTTAAAATTTTTAAGGATTGTAAGGAAAGATAATAATTGAGATGGCTTATGAAATTGTTATTGAAAAAGCTACTTTGGAGCATATTCCTGCGAGTGCTGCATTAACCGGTAGGATATATTCTGCTCCAAAATCATTCAAAGTCTGTGTAAAGAATCAATCAATTTGATTCTTTAATTACATCAATTTTTGAAAACTTTTATTTTTACACGGTAAAGTATCAGATAAGTTCATTAATATCGACACATTTACTTATGACGGCAAAGGATTATTTTCGCAAACCTTTCAAATTATTCGCAAATTATTCAATACCTTCAGATAATTAATATGCAAACTGTATCCTTGAAAATAGTCATGTTAGAAGTTCTTTCCAACTATGGGCATTCTTTTATCGAAGAATCGTAGAGACGATGCGTCATCAGCGGCAGTAAGACGTTATGGCGGTGATCACCTCCAAGACCTTCCAGATAGTTTACCGAGATGTAGATGATAACTATTGATATGTGTCGCGGACTTCCAGTGTGCTGTTGAACTTTAAAAGAAGATCTTTCTCGTCTAATTAAATTCTCATACTATAAATATACTCATTAAATTCTCTACTGTATCCGAATCACCCTTAAGATAGATTCGTCCGAGCAATTCCTTATGATTAATCGGATTTTCCAACCCCGCTTACCAACGATTCATTATTGGATCGGCACTCTCATTCAACCGACAGCTTCAGCAAGGTCGGGCTCAGTTGGTCAGCATCGGCGATGGTCTTCCCGTGCAGTGTTTTTACGCTAATCTCCGACAAGCTTACCGACTCCAGAAATTTCGAGGAAATTTTTGGGTAAGTGTGCGGAGCCAATGCCCCACCTGCAGACTTGCTGTTTCTCTGGTTTGCAAGCGCGAGATGTCGATCGGGAAAACACTTCGCTTTTAGCTTCGATTTCAAGCAGATGTATCCTTTGAATTAAATATATTAATTTTTAAGATCTTGAATTGGAAATTTTTTCCGATTGAAAATTAAAGAAAAGAAATCAACCATTAAAACATTCAAATTTATTCCAATTTACAATTATTTAATCGGCAATCGTTAATAGAAGTTACAATTAGATGCGAGAATGTTTTTATAATGGTGTCCTATCGTATCGGTAATAGGTAATAATCAATGCTTCTAGTATCGCTATATAGAGGGCAGGTACGTGAAGTAAACCGAAATGTCAAAACCCAACCTTAC